TTAATAGCCTTGTCACAGTTACTCAAGTTCTCATTAAATGAGCTGTCATATCTCTTTAAATGTTGATCTCAGCGGATTCACTTGGTGCCATCCCCCGATGTTTTTTGAGTTTTATAACAGTTGTATCAATCCACATGTCAACTTGGGGGCTACTGAGCCGCCTAAAATCCCGTCAAGTCAATTAAACAAGAGTTAACTCAATAAATGCATGGACCTAAGAACTCGTCCAAATGATTTGATCTCAATCCACTATGTATGTGATATGCCAATAGTTCATATTTATACTTACTATAAACTATGCCTATTGATAGGGATATCCACCATCCGTTAGTCCATATATAACTGCTGCCTATGCATCCCATCAAAGGCGGAGGGACATAGGGACCAAAAGGGCACATGCCTACCCTGTAAAAAAAATTAAAATTTTTTCCTTTGTATATTTATGGTTTTTTATTGGGTAGTTGGAATTAGACCCATCCTCATGATCAAAAACTAAAAATATTGAACTCATTCTAATAATATGTTTGAACCAATTAAATCTTGTGCAAAAAAATAATCAGGCATATTTTTCACTCAAGAAAATGTGAAAACATGTTAAAAAGTTGTCACTAGTGATTGAGCTTTTTTTTTTTTTTTTTGATAACTGTCAATCTTATATTATTTATAATTGTTTGAAATTGTTATAATTTTTTAAAATTGATGCAAACTTAGCCTGAAAATTGATTAGTATTAACTTAATTATTTATATAGAGAAAAATATTTTCGATAACATTATTAATAACGTTATCAGTTGTCATGGTCCATTGTACATGACTGTAATTATCCTTATGTTTTGTAATTAGGCTTGTTTTTTTATCGAGTATTGTTTACATAGACTACATATATTGGTGTTTGACCCTTTTTTATTTAATGAATCTTTAAATATGCAACACGATGTAAAAAAAAAAAAAGAAACATGTACCACAATACTTTTATTGATCAATGAAAAAAATTAAATTTTGTTGGTTAAGTGTACCATTCCAAGAATACATTTCTTGCCCCGTCCCTACATCCCATCGCCACGCCATGATGCATAGTGGAGCCTTGATGCTAAAATGAATGTACTTACTCTACTATATTTTATATGCCCACAAAACTTTTGTCATTCTTTGAATGTGAGATTGGTGTAAAGATATTTTGTTACATTGGCAAAACTCATGAGTGTTTCACAAAACACCCACTCATAAACTTTATTTTGAAAATCTTTTAACACTATCATCACCTCATAAGCACTACCATTACTACCACCATCATCTCACTATTACTATCAGTGTCATCTCACCACAGTCAACCAATCGCCACCACCATTGCTTTCCTCATTAACACCAGTTCACTGTAATCATCACTTTACCGTAACTACAACTAAATACCATCACCACCACAATTAACAACTCTATCATTAAAACCAGCACAATCAATCTCACAATTATTACCCTCTTCCCCCAATAACCATCCTAGTGGTGGCGGTGACGACAGTTGGGGGAGGGGGTGGTAGTGGGGAAGGATTAGGTGATGGAGGTAGTGGAGGAATGGTGGGTGATAGTATTGAAGCGGACAACAGTGATTATGATATGTGAGTAGGGCTGTACATGGGAGGGGCCGGGCTTGGCCTGCGAATTTTTTTTTGGGCCGGGCTCAGGTAGTGTAGATCCAAGCCCGTATTCGGGTAAATGGCGGGCTGGGTTTTGGATAAGGGTAGCTACCCACAGTCCAGCCCGTCACTATTGGACGGGTTTTGTGGGCGGGCTTTTGTTGGAATCCATAAATGCCCCTAATGGAAGCAACTAACTACAAGGTGAATTCTTCAGCTAGTGAACAAAATGAGAGACTACATGCCTGTAGTTTGGTCTCTTGCAAGCACAATACATCAAAATCTTCTTACTGGAAAGCACTATCCATCACAAGGAACTTTGATCACAAACCTTTTCACTTTTGACATTCCCTGGATTTGCATAGCTGACAGTTTGCTTGTTTGATATTTGTATGTGATCAGAGAAAGCCTGATGAATAGTAGGGGAAAAAGGAAAGGAGGAACTGTAACTGCTCAACAATTCCAGCGAAATAATTGAAGAAGAAGATAAAGAATGAAATGAAAGTGACGACTGCGGCCTTCAGGAGGTTAACACCTAATAACTTATTTGTCATTTGTATTACTTTACCATTTAAAATTTATATGCTTAATACATGGAAAAAAATAATAAATTATTTATAATATCTAAATTTTTAAAATTTTAAATTTTGATATTTAGAGACTTATTTTAAAATTTTAAATTTAATGATTTAAAAGTATAATTTTTTTTCAAATGAATGGTAGGTTGGGTTAGGCTTGCGGGCGGGCTCTTGGGCCAGGCTTTCGGGCCTAATAATGGGTTTGGGGGCAAACTCAAATCCTCTTTTTAAAGATATTGGGCTCTGATTCGGGCGGATCAACTATCGGACTTATTTTTTCGGGCCGAAAAATGGAATTCATAGATAACTCGGCCCATAGACACTCCTATAAGTGAGGGGTGGTGGTAACAACTATGGAGTGTTGGTGACGGTGACAATAAGGATAAAGTGATGGTAGTGCGATGAGGGGAAAATAATAAAATTCAAAAAATAATTACTTGTATACCTCATTTTATTGCGAGCAATGCTATTAAGATATAATTAATTATCACCGATGAAATGATAGTAGAATATATTTAATGTTATAATTGGATCTACCATTAAATAAAATTATTAGATGAGGGGTGATCAATTAAATGCATTAGTGCTTTATTGTAGTGGTAAAGTTGTTTATCTAATTCAATGCTTAAATTTTTTAAAAAAATGAATAATATTTAAATTAAAAATTCTGTATTTAACGCATAAAATTGGGCATTCAATTTTTAGTGCTTAATTTATAATTTTTGAACAAAAGTGTAATGCATCTTTTAATCAATTTGACTTCATTAGTCTCTTATAAAATCATCCTGTACTGGTCAGTCAATGAATTTACCTAATGAAGTTTAGGAACCCACTATTTTCGTACCGTATTTCGAGGAACTCACAGTTTTGTATCATATACCAAATTTCAATGGTTTCCTTTCATTGGGGATGTAAATTTAGATTACATATTTGAGATACATAGTATTGCTCTATAAAAAAAAAAAAAGAGAAATTTAAGCAAAAATATGCATAACCAATATTCGATGCATCATATTCATGGGTGTCAATTAATATAGAATCAATCCTAGAATAAACTCAGAATTGCATGCATTATCATGCCTAATAATAATATAGTCACAATTGGGATCCAAATCGCTTCCATTATCTTTTTCCTTTAATTTCCACCAATAGAGTACCTATGACACGTGAAAATTTTAATTTCAACGGGATGTTTCTCCCTTAGAAGACTTCCTAACCTTGGTTAACACTAATAATAGAATATTGAATATTTTAAATTTTAAAACTAAAATTCATGTTCTATTGTATCATTTATTGAAATAAAATCAAATATAAAAAGTCAATTTTTTCATAAAAAGTTAATTTTTTCTTAAAAAATCGTAATTAGTATACAATTATATTATCTATTGGAATAAATTAAAAAAAAAAAATCAAATAAAGGGTCTAAGTCATTCTTAATAGAACATGGATTTTATAATCAAAATTTATATTCTATTATGTCATTTATTAAAATAAAATTAAAATTAAAAATCTAATTTTTTTAAAAAAAATATAATTAGTATACAATTATACTATCTATTAGATGTATCATATTTATGAGTGTCAATTAATATAGAATGAGTCTTAGAACAAACTCAAAAATGGCATGCATGATCATGCCTAATTCAGAACAAACTCAAAAACCAATTGGTAAACATATATCTTTTGGGTTGTTTTTCTATGTTTATGTTTGTTTTTCATTGCCATGGTTTAATCATTTCTATTGAATCACAAGTATAATAGTGTTTGATGTACAGTTTTAAAAGCAAAACAATCCATTTTAATTTTTTTTGGGTCAACAGGTATAAATGGGTATTTTTGTTTTGGAGAGGGAGGAGAGAATCATGTACTCTTTGTGTGGGTTATGGACTCTAATGCATTTTGTTGACAGGATTAAGGGTATGGAGATCTTTTTGAATTTTGTGTTTTCCACTGAATGTGTGTGGTTTAATGGTGGTGGAAAATAAAAAAGAAGGGTAATCTTTTTTGTGATTTTATATCCACATATTTTCTTTCAACATAATAGTTACTAAAGAAAAAAAAATGCCCATTTTGCCTGTTTAGGTAATTTCATTTTCATTTTCATTTTCATATTCATAGAATGTCATATTTAGCTTTCATCTTGCTTCTTCCATGATAGCAATTATCATAGAATACCACTTGGTGTGAGAGTGTCATTGGGTGACAATGGGGCGGGCAGATGGTAGCAATACCTATATGTATGATTTAATTTACACCTTGTTTTGCTTTGAAATTCTTTTAATGAACTTTAATTGCAATAAGATAATCGAATTGCTTATAACTAACTCTGTTACCAATGTTGTATCCAACAGATTAATGTTGCTATAACCAATGCTATTGGATTCTTTGCTTATAGTTCCTCTCAAGAATCTAGAAAACAAAAAAGGGAACTTCCTCAATTCACAACCAATTTTTTGTCTTTTTTGTTTTTTTTTATTCAGTAATGTATTGTTCCATAATATGTAGAAAATGGAAATGCTTGGTCATTTAATCTCGTCTTTTTCATTTAATGTCACTGATAATTTATTTGTTATATAAAGTTTTTGCTTGCTTGTAATTTTTTGTTTGTTATATAATGCCTTCAGACACAGATAATGACTAATTGTAAAATAATTATTGGATAAATTGGCTCTAAAATTTATAATTTATGAATTAAAATTATATAAAAATCTTATAATTTGCAATTTTTGTGAAATATTATATTTCACTTTTCCTAGCCAATTACGTTACTCGTCTCCCTACACTGTAGTAGTTTGGAGTTTGGACAAAATCCCCAAACTCCAAAAAATGGTGAGTGTAAGAGTCTTCTCAGGCTCTGCCTCACCTCTCACTTCCTTCGACCACATCCGACGCATCCCCTGTCCGCACACTTACCAACCGACAATAACACTCACTTCGACCAAGACCCTACAGTCTGCCGTCCACGTCAGCACAGCCATAGCCGACACAATGGTCAGCCCCCACCCGTCGCTCGAAGTGATCGGAGGTGCCCTGGACTCTTTCCTCCCCGCATTCAAAACTCTGGATCGTCTCTACAATACATATCCCATAATTGGATGGAATCGGCATGCCGAGACTATTTTCGCCGCGTTTTTTCGCTCTCTTCCTGACGTTCGATTCCGGCGTGAGTGTATTAGGACCAAGGACGACGGTGCCGTTGCTCTTGATTGGGTCTCTGGTGACGACCGTCTGTTACCGGCCGACTCTCCTGTCCTCATTTTGCTGGTGTGTGTAGTCTCTACTCTGTTTCCTCTCGGTAGACAGACGCACGCATAAATTCTGCAATTGGTTTTCTTAATCTGTCACTATTATTGGGGGTGCATTGCTAGTTATAACCACTGATACGTGTATATAATGGTTATAATTGATTTTGCAGCCAGGTCTTACTGGGGGGAGTGGGGATACTTATGTGAGGCATATGCTTGTCAGAGCTAGGAGTAAGAGGTGGCGGACTGTGGTGTTCAATAGCCGAGGCTGTGGAGATAGCCCAGTGATAACATCGCAGGTAATTCGCTTTGTGATTTTGGTTGATTTTGTCTGAAATGAAAATTTTCTTATTTGAGTTTGAAATGCATACAGTTAAAGTTTGTTTACATGCTTGTTGGTTGTCTAATGTTTTAATGCTTGTTTTGCGACTGCTTTCGGTCAATGCTGGGACTGTACAAAGAAAATAATCAATGGTAATGATTGATGAGTTCTTGGTTGTATGCCTTCATTTTCTTGTAACTGGTTTTTTGAGTAATTGATTGATGATCGTTGTTGTTTACTATTATCATTTTTCTTTGATGATCTTGAAGACTAAAGTTAGTAAAGTACAAATTTGTGCATGTTATGTTGCTCAGGGTAACTTGAATATTATCGATATATTTCAAAAGAGAATACCCCAAACTTGTCTTCTTCATAGTGCTGTGGACATGTCAATTGGATAGCGAGAGTGTGGATCATGTCTTATTGCATTGTCTTTGTGCAACAGGTTGTTTGATTTGGCAGGATTGAGTTGGTTAATTCTTTGCCCTTCTAATCCTATATTTGTTGAAGACTTCAGGGATTTGGGAGGCACAGTAAAGGGAGAACTCTATTGAATTGTGCAATTCCTAATACGATTTGGGTCTTTTGGTTCATTGGTTGAGAAAAAAATTGTAATATTTGAAGATAGATGTGAGGTTGTGGAAGGCTTATGGGTCGGCGTGTAATTTTCAACATCTTTGGGCTTCAAATACTAAAGATTTTGAGAGAATTCCTCCCTTTTTTATTTTTGCAGGATGGAGAGCATTATGTGAATTTTAGCTAGGCACTATTTATTGTTTAATGCCTTATTGGTTGTTTGATGTTTTGTTGGACAACTTACCCTCTATTGTTTTGTTTAGGTGTCACAACTTTTTAATTGATAAAATTGAATGTTCGAAAAATAAAAATGAACCAACGATTATGCAGGAAAAATAACATCAATTTAAGGTGTTTCCATCTAAATTTAATCTATTATTGAGGTTTAATGCAAAATCATTGGAAAATAAGGAAATTGTTTTAGTGGAATTTTCGTGCTGCTACAATATTCTGGCTTGTATGGTCAAACTTTGCCACTGATGATTTGTGTTTTGAATTATAACTGGCTAATTTTTGCAGTTCTATTCAGCTTCATTTTTAGGAGATATGGTTGAAGTTGTGGCACATGTGAGCAATCGTTACCCAAAAGCTAATTTATACGCTGTTGGCTGGTCTCTTGGCGCGAATATTCTCGTTCGATATTTGGGAGAGGTAAAATAACTAATTCAACAGTTCCTTTTATTTGCTAAATTCAAGTTTTGCTATTCCCTCAAATCTATAGCTAAGAAGTACGAACACTTTATTTTAGTCAGAGTGTTGGTGTCAGACAATCATGGGACACAAACACGCTAGGACATGCGTTGAACACGTTAGGACATGTGTCGAACACATTAAAATGAGTGTTCAAACTTTTATTGTTAATTTTTTTTTTCAGGATGTATTTTGACTACGTTGGGGACACACAACTGACACGCAAATTGGGATACGCTCAAAGACATGTTTTTGAGATTTTCTTTTCAAATTTTTAAAAATTTGTCTAACAACTTTATAATTAAGGAAGTTATTGTTGTTTTTTAAAGAAATATGGGTCAAATGCGTAATGTAGAAAAAACTATAATCACTACATGAACATAAGACATGAATATAACATAATTTTGGAAACAACTACAAAATTATATATAAATGGAATAAATTTTCTATATGAAAGTAATGTGATGAAAAATAAATTATGAAATTAGGGCTTTTTGAAATTGATAAAAATTAGGGTTATGATTTGGAATATTTTTGAAAATGGAAATTGTAGTAATCATTGATTGTTGGGTCATGAATATTTATGATGAGTGCGTATCAATATATGTGGTATTGATTTTTTTATTTGATGATATCATGATGCTGAGTTGTTAGAATTAAAGAAATAATGAATTGAATGATTATTATCAAAATATATTTATTTTATCACGCACACATACATATAATATAACTAGATAAATACATAGTGTTTAACGTGTCACATAGTGTTCGTGTCCTAATTTTTTGAAAAATTTTGTGTCAGTGTGTCCGTGCTTCTTAGATCTGTAGTACTAAGACAAATCATGTAGTGTTGGTTACACTAACTCTAATCAATTGTCTCCCATCCCCTCACAACATGCATTGAGTGCATGCTCTATTCTTGTATAATGGACCCACAAGTTAATATCTTATTGAGGGTATCTGAATTGTTACCTTGACCCAGTTATATATGGTATGGAGCCTCCTTACTTGGGAACCATAGGTATTGAATTTTTATCGAATTATGTATTTGTTTTGCTTCAATACCACAATGCATTATCGTACTATTGCATTTATTAAATTCTCTTTTATGGGTAGTTTCTAATATTTTCTCAGTTGTGACTCCTTTAAAGCTTTATTCATCAGGCGAGCAGATTTCTTTAGGCTTTGTTTGTTAGTGTAGAACGTTTTTGTGGTGTTAGGTCAAGGTAATGAATTTTTCTTCCCTATTTTGGGCTTACAAAGAGTTGCTTCTTACAAAGAAGTGGAATCCCATTTAGCTGCAGATTAATGACAGAGGAATGCATGTTCAATAGCCAAACTTAATGTGGCTGACACATTCATTTAGTTGGGTTAAAACACCAAAAATATCTTTGGGTTTAAGAAGTGGTTGTGGACCCATCAATTTCCTTGGTGATGCATTTATGAGCTTCAAGCTTGGGTTTGATTATTTGGTGATTCTTACCATTTTTGTTCAGTTATAGCCAAGGAGCCATTCTGTAAGCTGTCTTTAGTTTTCATCCGTTGCCCATTTAATTATGACCAATTGAGGCTCTATTTTATTCGTTATTCCTCCTGTTGCAGGAATCTCATACGTGCCCTCTTTCGGGTGCGGCGTCCTTGTGCAATCCTTTCAATTTGGTCATTGCAGATGAGGACTTCCACAAGGGCTTTAACATTGTTTATGACAAAGCTCTTGCAAATTCTCTGTGCAAAATTTTCAAGAAGTAAAACTTAGATTGTTTTTTTATCTTTGCTTCTAGTCAGTTGAGCTTGGAGGCAATATCTCTGCGAGTTAAATGTCTTACAGAAATAGCTTCTTTTTTTTTTTTTGCTCCTTTTTGTAGGCATGCTCTTCTGTTTGAAGACATAGGAGGTGAATATAATATCCCTTTGGCTGCCAATGCCAAATCTGTCAGAGAATTTGATGAAGGATTAACAAGAGGTATATATTTCTTACATAAGCTGCACGAACACATCTACGAAGGTAGGATGTCCTTTTCTGATACTGAGGCTTCTCAAATATCATTAGACACATTTTTGAGACTCTTTTGACTGGCTCTATGATTTAGAAATAGAAATTTTTGCTTTAGGATTTGCTATGTCATTGCATCTGTATCCGCTGTCCGTCTGTCTATGTGATTCTTAGTTCTTACTAGGGTAAGTAAGAACTGTCTCTGCACTGTATTACAAAATTCTTATGGCAGTTTTTGTAGCACTTTGCAGTTTCATTTGGTTTCAAGTCAGTGGATGACTACTACTGTAGGTCAAGCAGCTCAGATTCCATAAAGAATGTGCACACCCCTTTGCTTTGCATCCAGGTGAGACCTATTTACCATTCATGATACTATTGAAAGACAATTCTGAAACTACTGCGCTATACTAGCATTTGTGGGAAATAAATTTTTTGACATCTTTTAGACGCAGTGGCAGGTTGTGCGTGCAACTGACTGTCAATGCCTTACAATAATATCCCTAATCCCTTAAATGATTGAACATCTGCAAATACATATTCTCAATTTGTATAAAAGTTGCCTAGCCTATCAGAAAGAGTTCAACACTCAGGTTTTTTCTTTATGACATTTTTGGAGTTTCTTTTTGTCTCACCTCTTTTTAATCTGTACTAGGTAACAGACAAAAGAAGGCCATGTGTATTTTTTTCATTGTGTTGTGTGTGTGTGTTTTTGAAAATTTTCTCCTGACAGTAGGATGTCTTAACTCTTGTGAAATTCATGGAGGCTTGATGTGGTTGAATTTCTCCAATTGTACAAATTTTGCTTGGTTGCTCAAGTTATTACATAGAGCAATCATATTATTACTTGAATTTAATCAGATGTTGAATTGATGCTATAAAAATATATCTCTATTAGCATGATATTCTTCCTGAGCTTTTATTCTCATGAATGTGGCGGTTAATAAAGCTTTATTTATTTATTTGGTTGAATGCTGCCATTGAAATGCCTAGAATTCTAATTTATGGAATCATTTCATCTTTCTGTGGTGGTGGTTACTGTCTGGTAGGTGGCAACTTTATTTTTTGTGAACTGGGCAACCTGATTTTGGTTGATTTGTTTATTAATTTGCTTTCATCCATATAACCCAAAGAAATTTCACGTAGATGAGAGAAGGAATTTTAAACCTGTGGTAACCCTGATATCAGAAGAATAGTTGTACTCTGGACTTTATGTCAGAGATTTTACTCTTCGTAATAATGCATTACTTGCTCCTTCAGAAATACAATAGTACCAGGTAATTGTAGAGTCTTATAGCAAACTGTAGATCTTATTTAAGGAGACACGAAGCACAAGATTTAAAATTTTATGAAAAGAAAAATGAGGTGAGGAAAAAAGAATAAATAAATGTTAGGCATGCGTCAGTTCTTTGCATACTCTTTATTGGGGTTCCTGAATTGGAGTAAACTACATTCTATGGTAGTTCAATATTATGTTTCAAATGGTTTGCAGGCTGCTAATGATCCAATTGCTCCATCAAGGGGAATACCTCGTGAAGATATCAAGGTACAGAAAGCCGCTCCTCTGTCTCATGTCTTATTTTATTCTTTAGTATTCCTATATTACTAGATTAAAGTAAGCTTTTCTTATTCGTGGCTGCTTCGTCAGCAGTTTTTGGTTCCATTCGGGTCAGATTTTTTGACCAGCATGACAAAAAAAAATTCTGCTCGTCTTTGGCAAAAACATTTAAAAGAATGTAAGAAGGAAATGATATAATAGTTCAATGCTTTTTGATTTCCCTATTCTGTGCTTCCTTTTCCCTGATTGAATTTTCTGCCACTCATTAATCGTTTCTATGTTTGTTTCATAGTTGAAAAACTCCCCAAAAACTACTTAGCTGGCTATACAAATTGACTTCTGACTGCCTCTCTTCAAATTCTTTTGGCCATCTCTTGTCCTTAAGTTGTCTTTGCCTTGAATTGAACTTCAAAGTATATTGGTGCAATCTCTGATAGTCAGGACAGATGACAAATCGCCTTAAACATCTTTAATTCTTTATCCCTGTCTCTTTGGTGTTACCTCTTCTATTGCTGTACAATAAGCTTGATAGTAGTAGGGAATAGACACAAACAGACTTGAGGCAACTCCTACTGAATTCTGGCGGGAGGGACCCACCAGCTAAACTCTAGTCCTAGGTATTTTGCAGCATCACAGAGCTTGTTGGGGATCCAGGCGGGATTATCAAACCTGGGACCTTGCACCAGATGGTGGCTTCACACCTTTGTCTCAATCCCTTGGCCACTGATCCACCACACCTCTTTGGTGGATCAATAATATTCTACTTGCACTCTATGAGAAGACCATATGCTATGTTCTCCTCATTCTTATGTATGACTGATGAAAGTAATTATGAATCTTTTGGGACATGTAATGGCTGCTATACCTCATTTAACTCCTACCGTGTTGAAGTTATTCAAGAGTATATCACATCTACTGCCGCTTATCTGGAAACTTACTCCCTTCGAATATGCATATGGTCATCTAAGTAAAGAAGCTTATATGGTAGCACAGATGAATGTTTCTTCTATATTATGACTGAATGAACTCCTTTTCGTGTTTAGTCAATTAATTTAGCAGAGAACAACTACGGTGAGATCTTTTGCTTTCCTTGTTGAGTGACTTTTCTAACAGTTGACACAAATAAATAAAGAACTTCTATGCCAATCTTGTGGTGAAATCCTATTCTTCTCAAGAGTGGAATTCTATCCATCTCTCCTACTGTCACTTTCACTTGGTGATCTTTCTATCATTCATGTCCTTGACTATTTTACTATAAGCAATTGATATCATTTTTACTCATTGTGCTCTAGAAGAAATATGCTTATGAAGCAGAGGCAGGAGTAGATATGGGTTATCGGTGCTATGTTATATTTTGGATCACTTCCTCTAGGCTCTAGCTTGATTTTTATAGTTGTCCTCTATTGATACTGAAAAAGATGTCTGTTAAATACATGGTCACACACACACACACATAGATGGAAGCACACGAACAAAATGGAGTTATGATTATCAAAGTGCTCTTCTCTAAACTCCCATTATATTACTGCTTCCTCAGGAGAATCCAAACTGTTTGTTGATAGTGACACCCCAAGGTGGCCATTTAGGGTGGGTCGCTGGCACTGAAGCTCCTCGTGGAGCTCCTTGGACCGATCCTGTGGTGATGGATTTCCTAGAACACCTCGAAAATGTGGAGGCTCTGAAACATTGTACAGAGAACTTGCAGGTGGTATAGCTAGCAAGGTAAATCATTTATACCAACATTGCTGCATCTACCATTGGAATGTGATTATAACGATCAAAGTTCAATAAACGGTTACAATTAAATTGGGAATCATGTAAAGTTCAATAAATAGACTGAAAACATCTGAATGGTTATGATTTATGAATGAATAAAACTAAAATATACACTCTATTTTAATATTTTTATAATTAATGGTTTTGAATGAATTAAACTAAAATTGAGTGTTATAGATTTTTTTGGTACGATATTGTATTTTTTGGATACGTAGAGTTTGCAAAGGTCAGCAACTGATAGTTCATTGAGCAACATGGGATGGGGGCAGGTGGTTTCC